GAATTCTTGAGACGCCTTTGGTGCAAAATCGTTTTATTAAAGCACGGTGACAGGACCCGTGGGCAGAAGGAGCTGCTGCCCCGGGAATTTTTTTTTTCTATGTTAATGAGAGTCACCATACATCATTAGTTCTTGATGTAGTGTTCCATGATTCATTGTTTGTGCATAACACCCAGTGCTCCATGCAGAACGTGCCCTCTTTAATACCCATCACCGGGCTAACCCATCCCCCTCCCCTCCCCTCCAGAACCCTGTTTGTTTCTCAGAGTCCATCGTCTCTCATGGTTCGTCTCTCCCTCCGATTTCCCCCCTTCATTTCTCCCTTCCTTCTCCTAATGTCCTCCCTGCTCTTCCTTATGTTCCACAGATGAGTGAAACCATAGGATAATGAGGAGCAATTGATTCTATACTTTGGGGTTGGGGGAAGTAAAGATAACAGAAGTTCCAAGAGTATTTTCATCTGCTAGAGAAGACTCACAGGATACCTGGCCATCGTCAAACTAAGGTTGCTTTTCCCTCTAGCAGAGCATTAACATGCAGACTAGAGCTTCCTGCAGGAACACGATACTCTGTCTCAAGTATTTGTCCATGGGGGCAGGTGATAAGGACATTTAATTTATCTGTGTTTCCTTCCGCCTTCGTTTCCCGTATCAGTGGGGACACATGCCTTGTGGTTGTCTTATTTAAGGATGTTTTGCAGAAATCTTTTCTGCCAAGGCTGTGGAACAGAATGCTGGTGGGGTCCTGTCTAAGTGCGGAACAGGACGTCAGTGCAGTTTTATTTTAGCTGTCCTCACTCCTTATTTTCTTGCTGGGGACCCCGGCCCTAACGACCTACCTGTCCCACGAAGTCCTCTAACAGTTTCAGCTTTGATGGGTCTTTGAAGCCCCCGGTAATAACTGGTGACCTCGTCTTCCCTGTAGTTTTAGTTACACCCCCTTCGCCACGGCCCCCTCCGCAGGGCCCACACCTTAGCCCTCTCTTTGCTCCCCCAAGCCGGCCCTCCCCTTGATTACCCAGTGTCTATGCCCACCTCCCGGTTAAAAACCTTAGCTGTGCGGAATTGAGTTTATTTTCCCTTTCCTTGGCCCTACCATGTCTGGTCGAGCAGATCCTCATGACTGCTCCAGTGGAGTCTGGGACACTTCCAAAGTTGCCAGCGTCGTGGTTTCTTTCAGTTGTCCCAACATGATTTGCCGCCGCTGCTCTCTCTCAGGACAAACGTTGCCCCTCGCTCATTCCTCAAGGCCCCTTTCACTTGCAAAGGGAACCCTCGGCTGCAGAGGTTATAATGCTCTGCCACAGAAGGAATGAAAAAGTCTGGTAACAACACATTATAGCTGCATGCTTTCCACGAGGCGTCCGCGGTCAGCCCCGGTCCTTGGCTGCCCACAGTCACTGGGGAAGCTCGTGAACTTCTGCACCGATGCTCTTCTCCTCAGAGAAGCCTGTTACCCGTAATATAGCTGGGTCACAGGGAGTGCATGAGCACCTGGTTCCGGGGGTCCCAAACACAACAGGTTCAGCCACTGGCCGCTGACAAAATCCAAAGGTACAGAGATGAGTGGCGGCAAAAGAAGAATTTATTTCAGTGAGGCCAACGCTGGAAGACGGGCTAGTGTTTCAAAAACTCCACGAAATGCTGGAATACTTCTGGGTTTATAGAAGGAAAATGTGGGGCAAAGGAGGGTGGGTCCCTGCAGGCCCTGAAGGTCAAATGAATCACTGTCTTGGAGTCAATCACGCAGGGGTCTCGCTGGCCCAGGCAGTCCTTATGCTCCAGGGGGGAGTTTCGGTTCCCACCAGGGGATGCTTTGTCCTCAGCGTCTTCCGCCTAAGCCAAGGGACCAGCTAGAAAGAAGAACCCACTGGAAAGTTTGAGGTCAAAATGGAGGCAGCTGAAGTCCACTTTCACCTACAGACACACACACACACACACACACACACACACACACAGGAAAATAAATTTATAAAGATGGTTTCACATTATACCCACTATCTTAATGTATCTTGGATGTGTTTGTTGTCAAGAAACAGAACAGCACTGGGGGCGCCTGGGTGGCTCAGATGTTAAGCATCTGCCTTCAGCTCAGGTCCTGATCCTGGGGACCTTCAGCTGGGGTTCTCGGACTCTGGCACGGGCTTGGCCGGGTGTGTGCGTATGCAGGGTGTGTGTGATGTCTGCCGATTCCTTCCTGTCAGGTGCACGTTTTTCTGGGGAGAAGTTTGTACCTTTTATCAGCTTCTCAGAGGCCGTGACACAGAAGAACTATCATTTACGGAGCATTACTCTGGGCCAGGCTGAGATGACCTCACCGCAAGCTTATTATCCCCATCTTACAGATGAGGCAACCAAGTCACAGAGTCTCCCTACTCTTCTGCCCACCCTGCAAACCACAGGTGTGTCTATGCTTGGCTTCCCTCTCCCACCAGATAAGGAGTGAAGTCCTTGCCGTCCACACAGGCAATTATTTTCCATCCTCAGGGTTTGAAGCCTTTGTACCCGGCAGGCTGCCTTCCTGCTCGGCACTCTGTCTCCTGCTCTAAATGCGCTTCAGCCCAGTTTAAATCCTTTGCTGTTCCATTTTGAGGTGACCCTACTCTGGAGTTTCCAGTAGCATCACCATCTGGGCTAACATTAATTTTGGAATAAATTCTCAATCTTATTTTGAAAGATCCTTCCTGTTTTTTACTTTTTTTTTTTTGAGTCACTTAAATAATGCCATGTCATATAATGTTTATTTCCGTACACCCAGAGCACCATGTGGATCCCATCAGGGCGGGAGCCTTGTTTTGTCCTAGGTGGCTTTTCTTTTTTTCCTACTTGGTTTTTTATAATACGGTTCATTGCACTGACAGATGTTTTATTATTTATTTTTTTTTAAAGATTTTATTTATTTATTTGACACAGAAAGAGAGAGAGAGAGAGCACAAGCAGGGGGAGCGGCAGAGAGAGAGGGAGAAGCAGACTCCCCGCTGAGCAGGGAGCCCGATGCGGGGCTCGATCCCAGGACCCTGGGACCATGACCTGAGCCGAAGGCAGACGCTTAACGACTGAGCCACCCAGGCGTCCCACTGACAGATGTTTTAATATATTTTTTTTTTTTTTGGAGGGAGGATGAACAAGTTATTTGTAGCTAGCTTGCCACTTACTATTTAAAATTCATGTTTCAAAAAAATAAATAAATAAAATTCATGTTTCTGTCCTGTCTGCATTTCAAGATTAGCTCGCACTTGCTGTAGGGACTTACTTAAACATGAATTGTCACATGATAGGACTGTCAGCCCTGGAAAGGACCTGAAACTCCATCAGCCGGCTGGTATATACCATTACACGTGACAGTGCCAAACTGTGCATATACCTGAATGAAATTCCAGTCTCTGCTTGGGTTTTATCATGAGGTGTCCATACCAATAGCAAATATTGTGTTATTCCTTCCTTTTGACCATTTTTATAACCTACTAAAAGAAAGAATAGGAAACTGACTCCGATAAAGACATTTTTTTGTTTTCTTTTGCTAACTGGTCACTTACTAAAAACTACGGTGTAAGTGATACGATGAATGTTTAAGAAACACGAGAAAAGAATATACGCAATATAAAACAATCTTTTCTTATAGTACCCGGGGCGCCCGGGTGGCTCAGTTGGTTGGGCGACTGCCTTTGGCTCAGGTCATGATCCTGGAGTCCCGGGATCGAGTCCCGCGTCGGGCTCCCTGCTCGGCGGGGAGTCTGCTTCTCCCTCTGACCCTCTTCCCTCTCGTGCTCTTGCTCTTTTTCTCTCTTTCAAATAAATAAATGAAATCTTTAAAAAAAAAAAAAGTAGTACCAGGGAGCGAGAATTCCTCTTCTCTTCAAAGGTCCTTGTACCTGGATCAGGATCAAATTAACATGAGATAGATTAGCAGGAAAAAAATCAAATTTAATAGCTTACACATGGGGCATCCACAGAGCCATGGAAATTCCAGAGACAGTCCGACAAAATGAGATATATATGCCATATCCTGAATTAAGAAAAAGGTAAGGGTCTGGGACTTTGAAGGAAGGAATGTAATTCACAGGGCAATAAGAAAAAGCAAATGTTTGCTAATTAGCTGTTTGTCCTGCCATTCGATGGGTCCCTGAGATAAAATTTATCTCTGGTAATGACTAGTGTTCTTGGAAAGACTCCCAGTTTAGACTCTTCCATGTAATTGAGAGAGGGGCAAAAAGTTCTGTCGAGCCCACAGGGTCTCCGTTGCCGTCCGCTCGAAATAACCTTCACGCCGGAGTGGCCCAGCTTGGGGCAGCCTGCCCTCAGCCCCCAGAGCAGGAAAAGCTACCCAAGCCTTCCGGACGCCCACGCTGAAGGTTACTAGTCAGAGGTCGTCCGTGAAGACGTTGCAAGTAACTTCTACTAAGGGATCTCACGGGCTTAGATCGGGAGTTGTCCCTTCTCTGCTCCGAGGTTCTTCGCTCTCCTAACTGACCCAAGACCGAGCGGCAGGAGAGCGACAGTTTAACAAAGCCTCCTGCGTCCGCAGGCAACACCCAGGAAATCCCACGGGCCCCCGAAAGGGCCCCCGCGCCCACCCTCAACACCGGCCCCGGGCGGAAGCCGGAGCGCGGCAGGCAGGCAGGCAGGGGCGGGGCGGGGCAGGGCAGGCGCGCCCCGGAGACGCGGTCCCCCCCTCCCCGCCACGAGACGGGCCGCTCGCACGCCCACGTGCCCGCGGCTCGCACGCCCACGTGCCCGCCGCTCGCACGCCCACGTGCCCGCCGCTCGCACGCCCACGT